TGATATCTTTCATGATATCTGTTTAGAATAGTTCATGCTATCTGCATAGAATAGTTCATGCTATCTGTATAGAATAGTTCATGCTTTTTGTTTAGAACAGATCATGCTATCTGTTTAGTACAGTTCATGCTTATTGTTTAGAACAGTTCATGATATCTTTCATGATATCTGTTTAGAATAGTTCATGCTATCTGCATAGAATAGTTCATGCTATCTGTATAGAATAGTTCATGCTTTTTGTTTAGAACAGATCATGCTATCTGTTTAGTACAGTTCATGCTTATTGTTTAGAACAGTTCATGATATCTTTCATGATATCTGTTTAGAATAGTTCATGCTATCTGCATAGAATAGTTCATGCTATCTGTATAGAATAGTTCATGCTTTTTGTTTAGAACAGATCATGCTATCTGTTTAGTACAGTTCATGCTTATTGTTTAGAACAGTTCATGATATCTTTCATGATATCTGTTTAGAATAGTTCATGCTATCTGCATAGAATAGTTCATGCTATCTGTATAGAATAGTTCATGCTTTTTGTTTAGAACAGATCATGCTATCTGTTTAGTACAGTTCATGCTTATTGTTTAGAACAGTTCATGATATCTTTCATGATATCTGTTTAGAATAGTTCATGCTATCTGCATAGAATAGTTCATGCTATCTGTATAGAATAGTTCATGCTTTTTGTTTAGAACAGATCATGCTATCTGTTTAGTACAGTTCATGCTTATTGTTTAGAACAGTTCATGATATCTTTCATGATATCTGTTTAGAATAGTTCATGCTATCTGCATAGAATAGTTCATGCTATCTGTATAGAATAGTTCATGCTTTTTGTTTAGAACAGATCATGCTATCTGTTTAGTACAGTTCATGCTTATTGTTTAGAACAGTTCATGATATCTTTCATGATATCTGTTTAGAATAGTTCATGCTATCTGCATAGAATAGTTCATGCTATCTGTATAGAATAGTTCATGCTTTTTGTTTAGAACAGATCATGCTATCTGTTTAGTACAGTTCATGCTTATTGTTTAGAACAGTTCATGATATCTTTCATGATATCTGTTTAGAATAGTTCATGCTATCTGCATAGAATAGTTCATGCTATCTGTATAGAATAGTTCATGCTTTTTGTTTAGAACAGATCATGCTATCTGTTTAGTACAGTTCATGCTTATTGTTTAGAACAGTTCATGATATCTTTCATGATATCTGTTTAGAATAGTTCATGCTATCTGCATAGAATAGTTCATGCTATCTGTATAGAATAGTTCATGCTTTTTGTTTAGAACAGATCATGCTATCTGTTTAGTACAGTTCATGCTTATTGTTTAGAACAGTTCATGATATCTTTCATGATATCTGTTTAGAATAGTTCATGCTATCTGCATAGAATAGTTCATGCTATCTGTATAGAATAGTTCATGCTTTTTGTTTAGAACAGATCATGCTATCTGTTTAGTACAGTTCATGCTTATTGTTTAGAACAGTTCATGATATCTTTCATGATATCTGTTTAGAATAGTTCATGCTATCTGCATAGAATAGTTCATGCTATCTGTATAGAATAGTTCATGCTTTTTGTTTAGAACAGATCATGCTATCTGTTTAGTACAGTTCATGCTTATTGTTTAGAACAGTTCATGATATCTTTCATGATATCTGTTTAGAATAGTTCATGCTATCTGCATAGAATAGTTCATGCTATCTGTATAGAATAGTTCATGCTTTTTGTTTAGAACAGATCATGCTATCTGTTTAGTACAGTTCATGCTTATTGTTTAGAACAGTTCATGATATCTTTCATGATATCTGTTTAGAATAGTTCATGCTATCTGCATAGAATAGTTCATGCTTTCTGTTTAGAATAGTTTATGATGCATCTCATGTTTTATGATCAATCATTTATATTTATCATAGCAGGCCATTGACTATCATGCAAGGACTTAAAGGAAAGTGCATTTGTGAAAGGTATCAGCAATCCGATGTTGGTTTTTTATGACTAGTTTATGCAAACATTATTCCAAGAAAACAAAAAAGGCTTTACGATATTTAAAACATTCTCAAAAGGGGTAATATATTCAAAGAATCAGACAGACTGGATAGAAAAGTTTCAGCTAAAAGCAGAAATCTTAAAATAAACAATTTAAATTACTTTGATTTAAATGCAGAATTCTACAGAATAGAATATTGCATAAACAATAATTGTCAACAACATTTTGACAGATTGAATGGCGAATAAGCAGCTATAATTGAGACCAATGTGAATTTATTGTCCGGTATAAGGATTCAAATTTAAATATATTAGCATTTATAGTCGTCATATATTTTTTACAGTTAAAATTGAGGATCATCCACTGTGACAATCACTTGTCGTTTAGCAACATCACATAGGTAGCTATAACTGCATCATTGTTTAAGATAGATTTGTGTAATGAAAGATTCTATTTGTTATTTATAAATAATTGCCCTTAAAGTTATATGTAATAGACTTACAATATAAAATGTTCGGTAAGTAATATGATTTGTAGTAATTAGTATAAAGTATACAAGCGGAAGATATCAAAAAGGACAATCAAAATTCATAAGTCGAAGAGAACCGACGAAACCATTGCAATAAAAAAAAAACAACAGAAAACGTAAAAAAAGACAAAAAAAAAAGTCGCTACAAAGAAAAACTGAAGTCTGAGCAACAGGAACGCCAAACTGGGGGTGCCAAATGGTGCTCTGGAAGGGAAGGCAGATCCTAAATCCAAATCAACTGGGGGTGCCATGTGGTGCTCTGGAAGGGAAGGCAGATCCTAAATCCAAATCAATTGGGGGTGCCATGTGGTGCTCTGGAAGGGAAGGCAGATCCTAAATCCAAATCTACATGCATCATTCGCCGACTTGTTCCAATAGCATTTTTGTAAGCAACAAACCTCGAGCACGGAAATCATGATAGGAGACCCCTGCACTACTGTATAGTAGTAGTTATAAAGACAGACAGAAATATTTGATTAAAGTGTTAATCACTTTTTGTCAAGTTCAAATCAGTTGTGGTTGACATTTTAAATGTGATAAAAATTTGGTTTTTATACTTTTCTTTGAGGTAGTGCAGTAATCGTATTTATAGACAAATTCACTTGGTTGTTTAAATTTGCCATTGTTTTTTTTTTTTTATGTTTCGTTGGGTATTCCGGGCTTTCGTAATCCCTATTGAATTTTGTTTTGTAACTGACAATTATCTAGATTATTCAGACATAAGATTGGTCAGCGTCACAGTATAAAATTGGTATTCTGTGTATTTATACTTTAATGCTGGGTCATACTTATGTCTTTGGGTCTTTAGGTCAAATGTTTTTCTATTGCTAGTAATATTTAAAATCTTAAAAATAAAAGTTTTCTCCTTATCGCAAATATGGATAAATGCATGCAGAAAAACTGCATGAGCAATCAACATGGTATAATTATATAACCAATGATTTTTTAACATCTATATTATTTGATTAAAGAGACAAATAAGATCGATAAAAGGTTTACCAACATTTAAAGACTTCTCGATCCTTTTAATGATACAATGATTACAATCATTATACAAATGTAAAAAATAGTGGAAACAGAGCATGCACAGATGTAATGTGCAGGCAAACCTCAGGATATAAATAATAAGAGAACCATACATTAATTATGACTAATTGAAACTTTGATATATATACTTATTGTATACTGTACTATTTTATGTTTTGAGTTTCGAGTTTAGAAGGATCATGATTTTTTCATGTCGGCGTAACTGCTTTTTTGTTTTTTAAAGGATAATAATTTTGTCTCTGTCGGCAGATCTGCTTGCTTAGAAGGATCATGAATTTTTTGTTTGTCGGAAAATTGTAATGCAGTTGTATTGGCCATTCACTACAACATTGTATATTGTTGTATTATATATTTCATATAGGACGAAGAATATTTTCCTAACCATTTGCAGACGTGAAATTTTTCTCTGCCATAAACTGTTTTAATTAGATTTTGCAGTTTTTCACACCATATGTTTTACAAAAATTTAATCATCTATTATATATCTTTTTCCGTTTTTGCATTAATTCAATAACTTTGTATTTATTTGATGTTTGACGAGTCATATTTTCTTTCACACTGGTATTATTATAACTCATTATTCATGTCCCTGAGGTAAACATTGTTTGACCAAGGTGGTCATTTGCTATAGCACCAGAAAATAAATTTATAGGTGTTTAAGCCCACTTAATAAGTTGTATATGATTGAGGTCCTAGAGTTGTTAATCAATCTAGCGACTTAAATCTTTTTGAAAATGAAATATATGCGATTTAGGACTTATGATTTGGACGGTAGTTCAACGTTTGAACAATGAAGTCCCGCCTTGAGGTCATTTTTGTGTGTCACTGTGTTTTATTTGGTAGCTGATTCGTTAACCTGACCCCAAAATCTCCTTTAATACCCCTAACAAAATGAATGAAAAAAGCTTAAAAAGGAAGTTGATTTCAAGAAATATGCCCATCTGAGGTATCTTTCTGGACTCAACGGCATTTCATTATAGCTAAATTCTTCACAACATTAACACCCAATGTATTACTATATATGTCTTGTCATTTACTCCCGACCATCATTGCAGTATGGTAATATTACATGTATTTTTAAATAACATTAAATATACTGTACTGTAATAAAAGAAACATTTTCTGTAATAAAGGTTTCCAGGCACGTCGAAGTAAATTCTTCTTAGAAATGTAAGCACCAATAAATATGTTACTGGACTACAAATTTCCTCTGCATAAGTTTTCTATTTATAAAACAAAACTGTACCGTAAGACATATCGTGCATGATGTACATGTACATTTTATATTTAATATGTTATGAGACAAAAACAAACTTTGTCATTTTCGTGACGTTTTATTATTATTATTTCTAAAACGTTTTTCCTAAAAGTGACAATTTTTACCATTTTATAAAGTATCTGTGATTTTAATAATTATAACTTACCTTGAATTTGCTGTACTTTTGCATCTGAATCATTCATACACTGCAACGGATCCATTTTCACTATCTTTACACTTTACTTCTTATTTGGAGGAATTATTATTATCATCCAGATTTCAAAAGTATAAATTATTATTATAATTTCCTTTCATACAGGAGTCCTCTATTTCTACTGCTCAGTTCTGTGGCTAAAATTCATAATATACATCAATGTCGTGCGATGTATGGCAGTATGTTCCGTTGCGTCAGTCTCAAACACAAAATATCGTCACAAAAACACTTTGGAAAAATCAAATTTCTTCAATGTTGGTTTCAAACTTTAAAGAAAATTAAATTGAAGCAGTTGTAAGACTGTCTTTGTCCACCTAACAGATAAAAACAAAAAACAAAATCAATTATTACAGAAGTTAAGCTTGAACTATATAATTGTAGTTTTAAATTGAAAATGTCTGAAGCAGTTTGATTCCATCGTATTTACAGCTGAGATTATCGTATCATAAGGAGATTTTACCACTTAATCGATAATCTTCAAGAGTTTTGTAGCTTAATTAAACACATACCAATTTCTTTTAAATCTTTAACAATATTTAAATCAATCATTAAATGTAATATGTATCACAATACTATCGGTTTCATCACTAATATATACCACATGAGCTCCGACGGTAATGTGTGCTTCTATCCACGTGCTCAATACCTTGTATCTGTGACGCTGAAGATGATCGGACAACTTCTTTACAGATAAGATCCTCCTGTTTTGTCGGTTAGATATTGACAAATAGATGTCGCAGTGATTATCAGATGAACTCAAACTATGATTGTTGATATTAATTGATCAAATTGGAGAGTTAGATGCAATCCTTTCTGTATATGAAATAAACCACTAAACAATATAAAGTTCAAAGTAAATCCAATCGACCTTCTAGACTATCGATGATCACAATAGTTCCGTATTTATTTATGTATTGAGATATCTTTCCCCCCTGTGAGTTACTCCTTCATATTGACGTTCAGCTGCTCCAACTCTTTGCCGTTTTATTTATATCGGAATCTCTCTTCTGCAAAATAAAGAATATGATTCTTTGATAATTAATTTTAATTATTCAGTTAAGGTCATAACGCCTTGGTATAGATCAGTTATATTCTATAAATAGTAATTTTTTCAATACGGACTCAATTAACCATTTAGAGATAAATAGTACTGTATGTGAAATTCAATGGACACATGTAATGGATACCAGGTTTACAGTAAATTAGAGACGGATAATTGTACAGTGGTATGTATAGCATTGTCTACCCAGTAATATCGGCGATCTATTCTTGACTATCCTTTAAAATGTTAAAAACTGTCAAGTAATGTTTAAGTATTTCACGTATGAAAGGATTACTATTATGTTATGTGTCAAACTTTTATATATTTTCATTATTATATAACGACGACCGATTTTTTTTCGTCTTTTACTCTCGCTAAGAAACCAAGACTATTCAAAGTCATGACGGCACAATTTTTTTACACGAATGAAAGAAAACAAATATAGAAAAACGTTTTCTTTATAAAATATATCATCATTAAGATATTAAATAAAACGTTACTAAAAACAATGTACAAGTCTTAGATTATTCAAAATATGTTTTGTATTGTCGTCAGGCGTTTTAAAAATAAACCTAGAATGAAGCTAAAACACAAATCATTTCATTATAGTTTTCAATCCTTTTTCAATGTCCGTTTATTGATATGTTCCATACTTTAACTCGAATGAAATTTGAAATTTGTTTTTTTTTTACTATCCATTTGCTAAACATTAAATATATAAAGAGGTCGTCGTAAAATCTTCAACAATAGATAAGTTCATAAACATTGTGTCAAGCTTTTAATAGCCAATTTTCTGATAATTTGTGATTGTAAGAAGAACTACAAAAGATCTTCAAACATCACGAAATACTTTAAAGGACAAAAATCTTAAGATATAACTTAATACAGCCATGGACGATGTTCCCGAAATAGGACGTGACCATTATACCATTGATTTACCACCACAAATCTTCAGCTGTTTTATTTTCATCAGTTGAATAACAATAGGGATATTGAAGAATGTTAAATAAAAAAATCCTACAGTTTGAAAAGCACTTAACTCTATATAGATAGTATTACATACAACGATGACACATATTTACAAGCTTAATCCATAGCATTTACTGTCAAAGTGCTGATGTAAAATTATGCCGTCTTGTTATCTAATATCGGTGGCTGCACTAAATTTCACACAGCGATTCCTTGAACAGTCTAGCATTAATGTGCAATTCCCAAAGTGAATTTTTGTATAGAGTTTCAATGTAGAAAAGATAACATCTAAGAACTGTTTATAAAGAAATACGAGGATCAATATAACTACAAGAAAATACAAGACGCAATTATTAAGCGGCAACATTTTGATTAAAATGTATAATCTTTACGAAAAGTTTTAAATAATACTATCATAAAAGCTTGATATAAATCATCTTTGTTGTTAAATTCTGCAAATGGAATTATACGTCCGCAATACATACTATATATTTTTGATAAAATTTAATAAACTTTTAATCAATAAATGATATCTGTATTTCAGAAAGGAACAAACATGAGAGTGCACCCCATTAGAAGTACCGATCACTTGACGGTATATTGTTTGTTTCGGCCATTGCTTAAGAGAGGCAGAAGATACCAAAGGGACAGTCAAACTCTTAACTCGAAAATGAACTGACAATGCCATGGGCAAAAACCGAAAAGAGAACAAAAGACAAACAACAGTCTACAAAGTACAACAAAATGAACCAAAGATTGAGCAACACGACCGCCCCTCACCCCCCCCCCCCCCAAAAAAAAAAAAAAAAAAACAACACACACACAAGGTTGATCTCAGGTACTCCTGAAGGGTAAGTAGATCCTGCTCAACGTTTTTATTAGGTTTCGGATTTTAAATAATTTGGCCTCGAACATCACAGAAGTGACATAATAAAACTTGTCGAATTGCGCATCTGTTGCAGTAAAAGTGGTATCATTAAATTGTTAATACAGTTTCTAAATATATGGTTTGTTGAGCATAAAAAATAAATATCACTGTACTTTGGATCACGAGAATAAAGATATATATACCTCTGTACTTTGGATCACGAGAATAAAGATATGTTACCACTGTACTTTGGATCACGAAAATATAGATATATATACGATGAAGTTTGCAAAAGTTAATTTGTAATCTTATTAAAAGTGTGAAACGTTTGAAAATATTGACAACATTAGTAGGAATAATTCGTATTCATCAACTTAATTGATTTAAATGATTTATAGACAATAATATGAATTATGTTAATAAGATTAGTTCCAACAGTAATGGAGGTTATTTTCATAATAATCTTATGTGCTAAATCTCTGTCGCTTGCGTCTATTGGGAAAGGTTTGAGAAAAGGAACAGATTGACGAGTTCAGTCCATTCTTTGTATTTGAAAATAACCTCTCATATGAAAATGAATTGTAATCGGACCACAACAAGGATGTTTTTCTTAGCCATGCATTAAATTGTCAAATTATCCCTAAATTGCTCAAACACCTTTTATTAAATATATTTCTAACAAAATATTTATAAAACTATTCCAATAAAATTCAAAATTTCTCATGTGTATAACAATGTTATAAGATACTTCTTCGCATGTGTCTCGAATTTTTACCGTGAGATAACTAATTCTCCCATAAGCCGGAATGATATACAAAGATGAAAAAACATGAAATATCTCAAATCTAGTAGTTTAACGAATCAAAGTAACACAAAAACGACCACTATCTTTTTATAACTAGAGAAAATTGATAATATCACGTGATTATTTGGAAAGTGAAATATACTTTATTTATCTGACATCTATGTTAATTGATTTCAGTAGAGACCGTACATCATTACAATTTAAACAGAAAATAACAAAAACGTTAGAAACAACGGATACAAAAAGATATAGAAATAAATGAAAAAGGTAAACAATTATAAAAAGAATACTTAAATCCTTCAAAATAGATACTCAGTTAACATATTTAAAAGAAAACAGTATTGTGAGTTTATACAATCAATTATTCCACGTAATGAACATCCTTTCTGTCGCTATTTCTATATAATTATCATACGACTGTCAGCAGGAAAATAGATATATTCTCAATTCATACATATAAACTTAATGATTACAGATCCTCTTGTTTCCTGCTTCTCTATACTACACAGACATCAATAATTCATGAAGATATTTAGTTATTGTTAGATGAAAACTGTATTTTGATTATTTATTTGAAGATATTTTTCTTGTAGCCAAAACTTCGATATATTCTCCTGATACATTTTGATTGCAGATTTATTTATTTTTTTGAAGTACTTATAAAAATGTACAACTCCTCGGAATCAAAGTTTGTATTTATCTTTTTCGTCGAATGCTCATCTTATGCAGTAAAATTGAAACTATTAATAGTATTCATATATTTACTTTTCGATGTTCTGTTAAGATCCCTTTATTTTGATGCTCCAAAAAGTTAAAGATGGATTTAGCTATTTTTTTAGGTCCTTTTTGATCGTATAGCTCTTCAAATGTTTCGGTTCTTATACATCCTTGACTTTAAAATATTTGGCTTTGAGCGTTCCTGATGAAGGTTAATCCAGAAAAGCGCTCCGGACGGATAACATTTATAACGTGTTGTTTTTATTTTTTAAAGCATTTGTTTTCCTAAATTTTATGACTTGGGCGTACTCTTATTAAAAAATCAGTTGAAGTGAAATGTATCATCTGTATTTACTAGTAATGAGCCATTGTTTTGCAACTCTTATATTCATCGACATGTATTACTTCTGGAAAAAGAAACCATATAGCAACAAAACACTTATAATCGGAGAAAATATTATGTTGAAAGCATCGCGAAACAGTGATTTCAAAACAAAATAAATATAATGCATTCTGATTTTCAAAAAAAATACCGGTAAATTTTTAACAATATTACGACACCAAAACTAAAGTGCACAAAACAGCTGTACTGCAATTTCTTAACATTTCTCTCATTCAACGTTAAGCCAGGAGGTTAGAAATAATTCATATCATACGTAGGTTTAATTGTATCACTCATTAAACCCTTAATTACATTTGCTCTGTTTGGTAGCTAATTCATTATGACATCATGTAATCTCTAGCGCAGTTAGCATCAACATAATTATTGTTCTACCTGATCAGATTTGACACAAGTACTGGGAGAAACAAATTCCATCATTATCTTATATCGATAGTTCAATTTAAGAATAAAAGTGCTTGCTAAAGCTTGCGTGCTGAAATTTTAAAGTTTAACGAACTTGACTTATTGAACAAAATATGACAAATAAATACTAACAGTAGTGAACCAATGTTCAATACTTAGAAATCCATTTTGATACGTGTACGTCAATAAGGTAAGCGTCCCTGCTATGCACATGCCAACCACCATGAAAATCAACATGTCACGAAAAAGAATACGACATAATCAATAACTACAGTTTAGACGACTTCATTTGTGTCACATGATCTTCGACTGCAAAACATCTCTCATGAGCTGAAATACAGACGCATCGTATCGTTCAATCAATACTTGATGGTGACCGCGAAACTCGAACAGTGTCAATTTCAGTCCCCCCGTAAATCAGCTGGAGCAGTTATTGAGTATGGAGCAATGCCCTGTTAATGTACTCCATATAATGGGAAAATACATGTTCGTTACATATAAAAATAGAGCCAGAAGACACCAAAAGGACAATAACATTTTTTAGTCGAAATAAAACAAACAATTCTAGGGCAAACGAAAAACAGCGAACGGACAAAGAACAAATAACAAAATATTACACAGAAAAATAAAGACTGAGCAACACGAACTTGAGATAAGAAACTCCATACGATGGGACAGAGAGGAGGTTTCAATTGAAAATCGGAAAACTGAAATCGTCCCGTTAGTCATAGAACCTAGTTTGAAGTCGTCAAAATGTATCATTGTAAAACAAAAGGATCTAGATATGAAGCAGAGTTTGTT